ATGGCAGACACTGCTGATTATTCTTCAGAGTGGCTCTTCTTCCTGGCACATAACTAAGTAGACTACATTTCTCCAGTTAAATGCAACTACTTGTCTGAACTACTAAAACAGGAGCAGAAGTGAAGTGTGTCACATTCAGACAGATTTCATTTAAAAAAAAAAACCTCCATTCTTGGCTCGCTAAGCCCTTCTCTCCCTTTTTTTGTATGGAATGGAGATCTCCTCCAGGACAACTTTGGGTGTGGCACATTGAAAATGGTCTTAGACTCACCCCTGGCCACCCAACCAGAACACCAGATGGGATTGCTGCATGAGTAAAACCTAAATAACTGCTCCTGTGTTGAACCTCTAAGATCTGGGCTTATCTGTTATAGCTTCTGCAGCGACCTCGACCAGAATAGGGGTTCTGTATAATACCTCTACTTCCTAGAGCTGCTGGAGGATTGAGTTAATAATTCTAAGTTCTTACTCTACTGTCTGGCACACAGCCCTCATCATCACATCTCAACTCCTATTGCTGCCTCAAGGGAGAGTTGACAGACCTGGATCCGAGAGGGAATGGGAGCACTTGATTGAGAACCTGGAAGACAATGTACACATATTTTCACTGGTTGGACAGAATGGCTTTGACACTTACACTTCAGTGTGTTTGGAATTTTGAAAAAAAATATGCTAATCAAAAATAGCATATGCTACCCTAAAAGAGGCTATGCATTTTATCACAAAATAAAGTAGGCAAATATAGGCAATCTATCCTTGACTTCTAAAAAAAACTCCAAGTTCAAACAATGAGAAGCCATCTTTGGTGCCTACAGTTGGTATAGATTTCAGACTGATTTGCTCAGTCTTAAATTCCCAGTTATAATGGGTCATTTATGCTCACTGAGGCCTGAGTAAACTTTCCCTCTTGCTAGGGAGGAGTTGAACAATGATTTTGGGAGTCATTCTGGTCTGTTCTCTTAATGCTTATGGAAAATGCTGGTATTTTTCCCTCTGCAGTATGCCAAGGTGCAGTGTGACCAGTCATCTCCGTGCAGGACAAAATGAGTCAGTGATCTGAGTCACTCTACTAGAATGCAGGCTATGTGTTCTCCCTTCCTGGTTTCAAATAGCAGAGAGTCTGGTCATGATGAGGTCCCCAGCTGAGAGCAGAGCAGAGAAACAACCCTCAGCCCAGACAGAAAACAGACCTAAACAATTCTTTGGGATTTGAGTTCCAAATGCAGAAGAGTTGAAAATCTCCATTGTTCCTCATTTATAGGAAACTGATTTGAAATAAAAACATTTAGCAGCAACAGATAAAAAGTGCTTATCAAACATCAGGTTCATGCAGAGAGTTTTATTCTTTTAAGATGCCTGGAATATTTCATCATAGTATATGTCATGGGTGAGTTATGTCCCCCTAAAATTCATCTGTTGAAATTCTAGCTGCTAGCACCTTAGAATGTGACCGTATTTGGAAACAGGACAGTTGTAGCTGTAATAAATTGAGATCATTAGGTAGGCAGGCCTTAATCCAATCTTAACAACTAGGGTAAGGGAAATCTGGACACAGACACATTCATAAAGGAAAATGATGTGCAGATAAAGGCGGAGATCAAAGTGACACTTGTATGAGTCAAGTAGCACCATTCATTCTCACAGCCCACAGAAGGAAGTAATCCTGCCAATATCTTCATCTTAGATTTCTAGCTCTTACACTTCTAGCTCCAGGACTATGATACAATACATTTCTGCTAAGTCACACAGGGTGTGTGACTTTGTTATGGCAATCTTAGCAAACTAATGAAGTATTTAAGTAAGAATAAATCACAGTGTGATTGATGATAAAAAGTGATTAAGTCAGTGCCTGGTTATTGTCCTTCCTGAGTAAAGATACTAATGGTGTAGAGTCTTTTGAGAAAAATTTAAAGGAGGAATAGTAACATTTGGTGTCAGCCAAGGACCACTTGTGGGGTACTGCTGGGAGTCACCCTAGTTGCTTCTGTGGCATCTCGTTACAATGGAAAGATGAGTCCCTTCTCTTCAACATCTTAATGTATTGCTTTTCTAGGAAGCAAATGATCCCCAAGAAGCAGTGTCACTATCACTTCTGCTGGCAAAAGAATATAGGCAAAGTTTGTTTCAATTGAATATGTGCTTTGATATCCATGAATTCTCTTCTGATAGTCAAATCAGCAAGCAATGAAAAGGGCACAGAGGATCAGGACAACAATGATCAAGCAAGGCAGTGGATTCCACCATGTGACATGTGCTGCATTCAGACTCACAATGGCCTGGACAGCATGTGAAATGAGACTGCAGTGTCTTTTCCGTGGTCCTCGCCTCTCTGTAAGAAGCCCTGCCCCTCTGACTTCAGATAAGGGCTTTTTTACCCTTGTTCCTCATAGACAGCACTGAAGCTGTGTATTATTATAATGATTTACTATGTAATTCTTTTCACAGCTAACATGATGTAACCTTGTTTGGGCTACAAGATATTTGTGAGATATTTCATAATAAAAATGAGAGACAAAGGGTTTGGAAGATTTCTCCTTATGATGTAAAGGGTCAGAGTTCACATATCTGTCAAAGACAGTGGTTTCTACCTTGCAAACCACTGATTCCTCTGTACAATTTGCTGTATATAGTACAAGGAGATCCTTCTAATTTTCAGAATATTTTCATCCAAGAAAATTAATTGGATCATCGGGCAAGTAGAAGCCATGTCATATACAACTGTGGAATTACAGCATCACGAAGAATCATGAAAAATGTAAGGAATCCTCTTTTCCTTTTCCCTGATGTGCTACAGAACCTCCAGTTGATCTATGGGGTCTCAACAGTTAGCTACTTTGCAAAGCTACCAACTCCATTTTTGGACAGCTGGATAAGTGGTACCATACATACCTGTACCTGTAGGTTTATTTTCAGCTTTCAGTCACAGTTACCTGAATGAAAGTGGTTGGAAGGGATCAAAATACGTTGCCTTGAATGCCTAAGGAAACATCATTTATTTAAATTCAAAAGGAGATAAAATCATATGTCAAAGGAGCAAATTGTGAACACTGATATGTATCACTAAATATTTGTATTTACTAAGCACCTGCTATGTGCCCAGCAGTGCACCAGAAAATTGAAGAAAGACAGATGTCAAAGATAGCACCATTACCCTCAATTAACTCAGCATATTTTCTAATTGTGATTAAATAAAAGAAACATGTTCAAATGTAATAGAAGATATAGTATATATTTAAGACCTAAGTTTATCACCTAGACTAAATTTTGTAAGAATTCAGAGGTTGGCAGTAAAAGGTGAGAATTTCTTTGTTTTTGTTTGTTTGGTTTTTTGCGGGGGTGATACTGGGGTTTGAACTCAGGGCTTCATGCTTTCTAGGCATCCACTCTACCACTTGAGCCTCTCCACCAGCCTTTGTTCATTTATTTTTTGAGACAGGATCATGCTATGCAGCCCAGGTTGGCCTGGAAATTCAAAATTCTCCTGCCTCAGTTTTCTTGAGCACAAGGATTACAAGGGTGCACCACCATGTCTGGCTAAAAGTGGAGAATTTCTAAGAGTCATCATGAGGTACTTAGGTTGACCAGGCTTTGTAGGACAAGCAAAATTTAGAAAGTCAGGAACTATAAATAGATTTCTATGAGACTATCTCTAGATTAAATGGCAATATACGACTTTCCAGAACACACAAATTAACACTGTCATTATCTTTAAAGTGAGGTGAATGGGAATGAGAAAGGAGTGCTGAAATAGAATGAAATGTAAATTGGGGCTGGGGAAAACACCACTGCATCACAGGATGATCTAGGGAGAAAAGCAAACTCTCCCCTTAACTTGGGGTCACACTGGATCAATAGTGTGCATGGTTTCCATCAAGGAAGATATGGAATATTGCTAAGGGGTCTTTTTTCCATTTTCCAGTCACCTTTAACTTCACCACTATGCAAATATGGAAAGCTCTCACTCAGCTCATTAGACTTTAAGCTGTATCGTTCTGTATCCATACAGATCTCATTTTCCCTCCTCCAAGAGTTCATGCAGCACTTTCAGAGACATACTTAGCCACCTGATTAATCACCAGAACTCTGTGTAAATTACTGTCAAGATTAAGATGATCATTTTATTACTGATTCCGCTTGATAAACGTTTTACAGTTTAACCTACCTGACAAAGTCATTTGTATACCCCTATCATATAAAGGAAGGTACGTTAAGACCACAATAATCCTATAATATTAATAGCTTTAAAATCACTTGCTAACTGCAGACAGTTCCCTAAGCAATTAAAAGATGTTCTATGTTAATTTAGAAAGGAATTCCAAACAAGGCATTTAAAACCTAATAAGATACCATTAAATGAAAGGGGCTGAGGGAGGGGGAAAGAGAAAGTAAACCCTAAGGCTTGAACGAGTAGAAATGATTCTCAGAGCTACTGACCCTTGCAAGATCCATATTTCCTTTACTTTCTAGATACAAAGTAGATTTTCTAATTGAAGGTGATTATCTAGTTACTACATCCCAAATTGAATATATCTCTTGTATTGACTCAACAGCTAATTATTTGGGGCACTTATCAGTCCGAAAGTCCATAGAAACTGTTGAGTCAATCTACCAATGATATAGAATGGAAAGTGGGTTCTGTCCATGACGAGACACTATGTAATGTGATAATGATCTTCCTCCTGCTACTCGTGTACATCTATAAGCTGAATTATGATTATAATCAACTGGGAATAAATCTACAAAGAGATCACATAGTAAAACTACTACTTACTCTTGGATTTTCAGAATGGGGACACCAAGATGTATGCCTATCATTCCATAGAAATGTACTGATTGATACAGCCACCATCATCACGAGGGAAAAAAAGAGCAGCAGCACACAATTCTAACAACAAATTCCTATACAGCAAGTTTTATCTCCATACACTTGACTCAAAAGCTACATGCCTCCACCAAAGACATAAGATCTGCAGACATTCACAGATATAAATGCGCCTCTATAAAATATAGTTCTCGTTAATTGGGTTAATTAATATTAACACACAAGTCACTGAAAACCCCCAAAGTAGACAAAAGATAATTTACCAAGGAAAGACACAAGACAAGAGCTGCATTCACTCTGAGTCATTCATTTAACTGACTGGAAGGCTATTCCTTATTAATACTTGAGTCGTCATCATCAATTACCAAAATGAGATGTGTTCAAATAGCTAAGGAAGGCCAAAGGACAACTTGTTTGTATAGAGTAGATACAGAAGTGAAACTAACCACATATTTTAAAATCGCTAGTAAACAGATGAAAAACACACGCCCACACAGGTGTATTTATCTGAGATGAATGAACCAGCACTTATCTTGGAAATCCAGGTTTGGCATTTTTCATCAACTTAGCATAATAATAATAACCTGAGCCCCAATCAAATACGTCACCAAGAAATAGTCACAGCAAAAGACTAATACTGACTTAGCAGTGAAGAGAGCTGGATACCACATGGCCAGATTGCAACCGTGTGAATCTATTGTTGCTAAGAAAGCACTTCCACCCTTACCTCGAGGGTCATGTTCACAGCACTGACAGCTACTTTGATTTCTCCATCGGACAGTTCCTTCAGATCTTTCAACATTGTTTGTTCAATACTCAAACCTGTGGATAACAAGGGGGGGATTATGCTGAGGGAACCTTTTTTTGTAATATCAGGGGTTATTCAAATAATTCATCCTATTAATTTCAATATTCTAATCCGTAATATCATTTTTAACCGTAATAAGTGTGCACACATTAAGGCAATAAGTCACATTTGTGACAATGTTAACATTAAGATTCCAGCAGGAAAAAGAATTCACCTCTCATGACGCAAACGAAGATTCAAGAATGACAGGACACTTACAAGGATGTAGAGAGGACTAAACTAGAAAATAAAAGACAGGGAGGCACCCACAGACTAGCAAGGGACAAGGGAAGAAGGACACCTAAGACTGGAAAAGAGGGGCTGCCACAAACTTAGCACTGAAGAAGGAAGGAGGCGGGAGAGAAATTCTCACAGCCTTATTCTTTTCCTTCCCTCACCCCAACTTTCCCACATGCTATTAACTCTCTCCATTGACCAAACCCAACCAGAAGCCATTGTCAACAGAACCCAGAGATGAAATGCTCAAGGATCAGCTGCTGGAGGCCCAAAGCAGGTGTGGTAGGGAAGGAACAGGTGGGGGGTCGGAAATCTGAAGAAAAACTAGCTTAACTATGTAAGTGCATCAAATACTACCAAACGAGGCTGACATTTGTTTTCAGAGTGCATGTAGAAGAGACTGTACAATTTTCTAATTTCTAGTATAATTTTATTCAAAATGTACTTTATAAATGTGGCCCATAAAACTATCAGAATTGAATTAGCCACCCTCATAATAGGCTCTGGCAGTAAGGGTTATTGAATCCCCTATCTGATGGAAGGAGTAATCTAGAATGGCTAAATTATCCAGAACTATATAGCTGTAGTCAGTTGACCAAAATACTCAATGAGTATTTGGTCTATCACTGTCAAACAGACAAACATCTGGCTGGACACTTAATTCTCACACTACATTCTTACATCTGGGTAGGCCTACTTTCTCAGAGAAGATTCACGACAGAGCCTAGTGAACTACACGCATCCTTCTCAGACCCTTATCCCACAGCGTCCACTGCCTACCATCCCGGTGTAGGGCACTCTGTGATCCCAGAAGCATGTGAGGATTTAATATCTTTAGACGGGTACTAAATAGTTTTCTTTGACTCAAAGATTGAAAGGCCACACCTTTTCTTACTTCAGCTTAAGTGATTTATAGGGTATATTCTGATACTAAAAGACTGGTGTTTTTGAAAATGAATGACAAAATTCACACCACTGTGCAGCTCTGTGGACCTGTACATACACATTCATGCACAGGTAGCTGAAGTGTGCCGGGCGCTGTCACTGCCACACCCACATTTCTCAGACCCTCCCATTCCAGCAGGCCATGTCCCAGCCTGACCAGAGTCTTTTGCTGAAGCCTTTCTCTGACCACCATTGGGGAATTAACAGGCCAACCCACTAGGGGGTGCTCACTATTTCAGAGGCGTGTTGGGTAGTGTTTAACAACCAGCGACAAAAACCAGTTGGTAGTGTTTGTCAGTTTCTGCCATGTCAATATTCCTAGCTTGGCTGATCTCAAGCTCCCAATTTGCTCTCAGCCAACTCACAAAATTCCGGAAACTTTCGCCACCAGCTTGTAGAACCAAGGTGAGCATGTGTCTGCACACACTCACCCCTTAGGTGGTGGGATCATGAGGTGCCAGCTTACTCTCACTCCCAGGGGTCCTTAGTGGCTACACTCTAGTTGGCCTTTGAGCCAACTTGCTTGACAAAGCATTCCATTCTCCTATCCTATGTCGCCTGGGGCCACTTCCCAGGCAACTGCATTGCCTCTGGGAAACCCCCAAGTAAGGGAGAGAGCTCTGTAATTCAGGGTTTGCCCCTTAAAGATAGATAGTTTGGATTTAAGTCCTTGCCCAGCTCCTTGTCAGTTGAGTGTGTTTGATGTTGGGAGAGCAAACACATACTAAGGCTCTCTGGGCCTTATTGTTCTCATCTGGAAGGTGAAGAAAAGAAACCCCTGACTCGGGGCTATCCTGAGGATTCAGGAACATTGTCCCTGAAAAGTTACACCATCAGAACCTTGTGTAAAGCAGGCATTCAGTGACATGGCTATTTATTATTATAAAACAGTTGATCCAGGAAATTTGACCTGATAAACCCTAGATTTAGGGAAACAATGCCATCACTGTAGGCATCTTTGCTCTCCCTTCTTTTCTAAAATTAATTGGTTTATGAAATCCCATTACACTTGGCATTGCTCCTGCCACATTTTCAAAATAGAACTCTGTTGGCACAAGAATTGCAGGTTACCAAGCACCTGAGCTAAGCATGAGCCACAGAAATTAACCACATATCCAGCATGAAGGCCTCAGAGGAGAGGCCACAAAAGTGGTCACTGCTTCTATGAGCCAATTTTGTGAGCCTGAAAACTCCTCCACAAGTACAGAGCAACAGGGAAGGAAACAAGCGTGCTCAAATAGTCCTTCTTTGGCCTGACAACACTCTATCCACAAACCATCCATCAGAAACAGGGAGAGAACTAGGAGCAGAGTCATCCTGATTTTCTTCTGGGGGTAGGGAAGTTGTTTTGTTTTGTAAATAGGATCTCACTCTAGCCCAGGCTGGCCTCCCAAATGCTGGAATTAAAGGCATGCACCACCATATCTAGCCAGAGTCACTCACTTTGAGCACTGAACTGGGACTCCTGCAGGACATTGATGATGTCCTCTCGTGGAGGCAAGTTAGGAAACTGCTCTTCCAGAACAGAAAGAATCTCTTCCTGCTTCTCTGAGATCTTCTCTGGATCCATGGTCATCCACTTGAACAGGATGCTGCCTAAAAGACATGGATAAAAATACCCTTGAACTTTCCTGCCAGCCAGGACAGAGGACAGGACAAGCACTCTCCAAGTATTAACCTCCACAGCTTAACAGACCCTGGCATGCTCTGTGGCACAGAGTTTATGGAAGAAAAAGCCGGGTGTATAGCTTTCCTCCACCCACCCCACCACACAGAGAAAAGGCAAGTGTTGGGTTGAAATTATTTCAAAATGGGATTTAATGGCAAGTTATTTAAAAATCTAGATTAACACTATTCTCTTTAAGAGATCCAGAAAATATCATTCCCACTCATCACATTACTGATTTTGCATATGAAATTCCTCCTTTCATAACTAAATGATTATATAATTTCATTTATCAATGGCCAAGCCATCTGTCAACATGGCTGAAGGTCAATTTCTTTCTTTCTTTCTTTCCTTCTTTTTTCTTTTTTGTGGTACTGGGACTTAAACTCAAGGTCTACACCACACCTTTTTTGTGATGGGTTTTTTCAAGATAGGGTCTTGTGAACTGTTTGCCTGGGCTGGCTTCAAACTACAATCCTCCTGCTCTCTGCCCCCTGAGCAGCTAGGACTGCAGGTGCCCAGCTTCAGTTCAGTTCTGATGTCCCAAGCTCCAGTACAAAATTTCAAAGTAATTTATTATTATCCAGTTCTAAGGCATCACATACTGGCCTAAATCGTAGGCTAAGAGTAGAAAGGAATTTGGCAATATGATTTTAGGGAAGAAATGTTGAAAAACTAGACTGGAAAGGTAGACAGAGGCCCGATCATAAAGGGTATTACAAATTATCTTAAAGTCTATCTTTATATTGAAGAATGAAAAGTTTGTATTTTATTTAATTATTTTTTGATATGGGGGTCTTTGCTAAGAAGCCCAGGCTGGTCTTGAACTTGAGATCCTCTGTCTTAGCCACCCCAGTATCTGGGATTATAGGCACAAAGTCTTTAAAGAGTTTTAAGTAGGAGGAATGGCATGTCAAATTTACATTTTGTAACTATCACTCTGAGCAGGCCTGGTGGCTCATACCTACAATCCCAGCCATTGGGAGGTGAGGGGCAGGAAGACTGAGAATTTGAGGTTAGTCTGGGGTATATAATGAGATCCTGTCTCAAAAAACAACAAAAAACCACCCTGGCTACCATGTAGAGGGTGAATCAGAAGGAACTGGCAGGATCAGTAAGAAGGCTGTTTTTTCATAAGAAAAAGGCAGGTTAGCCTATAGAAACTAGACAGATTCATCTGGAATGATCACTTAAACATGGAAAGCATTTTGTTGGTCTTTTGGAACTATCTTCCACATAGGAGAGCATGTCTGTAATAGTGGAACTGCTCTGTGGAGCTGGGGAAAGGAAGACAAGGAAAAGAGAACGGAGCATCAGCAATACCATAAAACATTACATCTGTGAAGGTACAGGATACAACGATATACATTGGAAGCTGTTGAAAAATGGGGGGTGGGAGGTAAAGGGGTAAGGGAGAGCAATGGAAGGGGCTGAATGGACCAAAGTAAAGTACACTCACAGCAGGGATACATCAGACAACCCTTTGAAAATGACTTTGGAATTAATAACAAAAGACAGGACTATAAAATAGGTTCGTGGGTGGGGGTACATGTGGGAGGGGAAAGTGAGTGAAGGAGATTAAGGTGAAAGAATATGGTTGATGGACTTCACATACTATATGAAATAGAACAAAGAAACCTCTTGTAATAGCTGTAAGTGGGGCCGGGAGGGGTTGAGGGGGAGAGACAGTGAGGGCGATCTAAGCAGTGTACAATATAAGCCTATTTGGAATTGTCACAATGACCCCCCTGCACAACAAATATATCCTAATAAAAAAAGTGGAAAGCAGAAAACTGGATTTTTGAGTGCATACCCTGTGGTCTTGCAATTTCTGACATAAGATCTAAAATAATATAGAGATGATTTTCTACTTTATTAAGGCAAAGATGAATCTGAATTTAAAAAAAATCCTCATCACTTCTGGCTCAAATATACTACTTGTACCAAGAATGGGAAAAAATTCTTATCAACCACATCACCAGCACGGAACCCCCCAAAAGTACTAGAGTCCCCAGGGGCACTCTTAGAAACCAAGACCCCGAACAGATAAGAGAACCCCTAATTCCATGCTGCTTTTCCACTCTGGGCATTTGCTAATTCATAAGTTGTAGCCAACGCACTGAGAAAGTTAGCAGATAAAGCTGCAATTTCACAGGGAGTTGAGAATTTAGCCCCTGCAGAGGACCTGCCTGTTTTATAAACAAAACTACTTACACTAGCTGCCTATTTGTAATAAGCGAAGTTTTATGGGAACACCGCCTCACCCATTAATTTATGCATTGTTTACAGAGTTTCTGAACTTTGATGACAGAGTTGAGACTGTAGGCCCACAAAGCTTAAAATATTTATGACCTGGGCCCCAACTTCTCCTCAAGAAAAAGGGTGAAACAAAAACAAGGATTGAAATTCTGATCTCCATTAGCAGAAACACAGGAAGATTCATCCATCTGCCACACTTCTAACTCCTTTGAGGTGCAAAGGCAAATCTTCTCTAAAGCAAAAGGATTTCAGGATTTACAGCCTCATTGTCTTTACAGTTTTCATCAACAATATACTGTCATCATTAAAAAATTAATAGCTGTAAAGGAAATCAGACAGAATGACTGGAAGGAAAGTCCAGAGGACAAAACTTATGAGGCAAAGAATGGAAACAGAGCCAAAGGGAATTTTTTTAAAAAATTAGCTGGAGTAGAGAATTAGAATTTATAAATAAAATAATCAAATGAAAACTTAAAATGGTAAATTTAGTAACTGAATTTAAGAATCAAAAATGTGTTTACAGCACATCAGACACACTGGGGAAAGACTGGTGAACTGGAAAATAAGTCAAAAGAGAGCACCCATACTGAAGCACAGAGAAAAAAAGGGATAAAAAGTACAGAGGTGAGTGGGAGAGACACAAGGGCACGGGGACAGTCCCCCCACACGGGCCGCAGCTCCCCGGGGAGGAGAGAGAGCGAGGCGGTCACAGTGCTTAAAAAGGCAATGGATACAGTAATTTTTCAAAATTGATGAAAGACAGTATTCTAATGTTCAAAATAAACTATGAACCCAAGTCATGATTAATACAAATAAAAACACCTGTGGTAGTAGAAAGGTTAAAAATTAGAGAAAGAGAGAAAAAAAAATACATCTGTGAGTAGAGACATTTCTGACAAAGGAACTAAATAAGATTGAGTGTGCCAAAAAACACATGAAAAAATGCTCACCATCTCTAGCAATAAAGGAAATGCAAATTAAAACCACACTAAGATTCCACCTCACCCCTGTTAGAATAGCCATCATCAGCAACACCACCAACAACAGGTGTTGATGAGGACGCGGGGGAAAAAGGAACCCTGGCCCACTGCTAGTGGGAATGTAAACTAGTAAAACCACTCTGGAAAAAAATTTGGAGGCTACTTAAAAAGCTAAACATTAATCTACCATTTGATCCAGCAACACCACTTTTGGGGATATACCCAAAAGACTGTGACACAGGTTACTCCAGAGGCACCTGCACACCCATGTTTATTGCGGCACTATTCACAATAGCCAAGTTATGGAAACAGCCAAGATGCCCCACCACTGACGAATGGATTAAGAAAATGTGGTATCTATACACAATGGAATTTTATGCAGCCATGAAGAAGAACGAAATGTTATCATTCACTGGTAAATGGATGGAATTGGAGAACATCATTCTGAGTGAGGTTAGCCTGGCCCAAAAGACCAAAAATCATATGTTCTCCGTCATATGCAGACATTAGATCAGGGCAAACACAACAAGGGGTTTGGACTTTGAGCACATGATAAAAGCGAGAGCACACAAGGGAGGGGTAAGGATAGATAAGACACCTAAAAAATTAGTTAGCATTTGTTGCCCTTAACGCAGAGAAACTAAAGCAGATACCTTAAAGCAACTGAGGCCAATAGGAAAAGGGGACCAGAAACTAGAGAAAAGGGTAGATCGAAAAGAATTAACCTAGAAGGTAACACACACGCACAGGAAATCAATGCGAGTCAACTCCCTGTATAGCTATCCTTATCTCAACCAGCAAAAACCCTTGTTCCTTCCTATTATTGCTTATACTCTCTCTACAACAAAACTAGAGATAAGGGCAAAATAGTTTCTGCCGGGTATCGAGGGGGTGGGGGCGAGAGGGAGGGGGAGGGGGAGTAATGAAGGGGGTGGGGGCAGGGGGAGAAATGACCCAAGCATTGTATGCACATATGAATAATAAAAAAATAAAAATTAAAAAAAAAAGATTGAGTGTGACTTCTCAAAGTGATGATGTCAGGCGCTGATGGATCTACCTCTTCAAAATGCTGAGATAACATAATTGCCATTCTAGAATTCTGTATTGAATGAAAGCACAAATGAAAAAGTGAAGACAAAATAGACATTTTCAGAAAAGAAAAAAAGCTATGTGTGTCACAGAAAACATACAATAAAAGAGATATGAAGGAAAAATTATTTCAGATGGAAGCAAAAAGAAATGCAGACAGGGAAGAACATTGGGAAATGTAAATCTCTGGTAAGAATTTATCTGTTCACTGTGTAAAACAATTGCAATATCTCATAGAGTCTAAAATAGGTGGTTAATCAAAATACATTTCAACCATAACTGCAGAAGGAGGCAGGTGGAGATGGAGTGTTCTAAGGTGCTGAGATTGCCAGGGGAATGGAAATAATATCAACTTATATCTCATTTTAATTGTGTGTGTAATTTCTATTGTACTAAGAGAATTTCTTTTAAAAAAAGAATTCTTAATTTAAGATAATGGGGGAGGAGAGAAGGAGGCTGAAGCAATGGGACTACAATGGCAGTAATATATAAAACTATTGATTTAATGTGATAGTAGTAAATCCATAACAGGAAAAGGAAATGTGAGATAATTAGAAAACAAATAGCAAGATGACGAATTTAAATTCAGATGAATAGCAGTT